TTGTTCTTTAATATTTTCTGTTTATATTAAAAATTATTTTTCACTTTTTAGTTCAATTTACTATAAAAAAGTTTTTTTTAGTTTTCTTAAACTATATTTATTTTTCACTTTTTAGTTCGATGTATTATAAAAGCGTGTCAGCCCCAGAGATTTCCAGACTTTTCCTTCCAGACATTATCCAGACTTATTCAGAACTTTTCAGAGTTTTCTAGATTTCATCCAGATTTATCCAGACTTGTACAGACTGATCCGGATTCTGGAAAATGATCCCCAGGTCTTTTGGGACCTTTTCCAGAATTTTTCCGACCCTTTCAAGAAATTTCCAGGCCTTTTCCAGACGCCGTTTCCAGAGATTTCCAGACATTATCCAGAGCTTTCCAGAGTTTTTCAGACTTCATCCAGATTAATCCAGACTTTATCCAAACTTGTTTAGACTGATCCGGATTCTGTAAAATGATCCCCAGGTCTTTTGGGACCTTTGGCAGAATTTTTCCGACCCTTTCCAGAAATTTCCAGGCTCTTTCCAGACGTTTCCAGAGATTTCCAGACTTTTCCAGACTTCATCCAGATTCATCCAGGCATATTCCAGACTTGTTCCAGCTCACTTGGCTTGTTCCAGGTTATTGTTGTGTGTTGTGTGTTAATATAAGCGTGTTAAAAGTGTCGCTTTTTCGTTTCATCGAGTCTCAAATCACTCCCAACGATTCTAAAGAAGTTTTCACTTCAAAATCTAACCACTCAGATATTCCAGGGAGTCAACGTTGACTATCTATCTATAGTCAAATGAGACAGTAAAAAAAATTAAATTCCTTTGGTGTTCGGCGTTTTCTTTATGAAGCACGGGCGGAATAAGAGAAATTTATTAAAACAGTTTTATATAAAATAAAACATAAGGCACGATACAAATCAAATACGAATCAAACTTATAAAAAATATCTACTGCACTGTCTTTCCAGACGAAACTGACTCCTGTGCGGTGCGGCAAGCGCTTCAAAGAAATATGCCGACAAAGATGCCGCGATGCCGCTAAAAAATACGCACAATGTCCGCGAACCGACTCTCAAATTAAATTGCCGCAAAAACTAATCCGGACCGTTTGATCAGGTGGCCCCGTTTATACGTATAAAAACAGCTGGTTACTGGGAGCGCGGCGTGACGTTTTCCAACGTATTGCCGTGTTGCAGCGGGGCCGTTGTGAGATGGGCTCGGACGGATAGTCCAGCGAGTTTAGTTTAGTCAGTCGCTTAAATTATTGTCTAGGAAATTTAGGAATAATAACGACAGACATTTTTCCGTCGGGATCAAATTATAAAATGATAAGTAATTTGACCTGACGATTGTAATCCTTGGCCCCTTAGGGCCAGCCGCCACTGTTTTAAAGGCTGTTACAGAATGCAGTACTGACCATAGGTAGGTATATTATACAACCACAGAACATACATAATAATGCAACAGTCACAGTTAGAATGTATCATGGCGACACCAATAAATTCCCCTTAGAGAAAGGTAAAAGACAAGGAGACAGCATCTCTCCTAATAAGTAAAGTAAAATAACCATTGGGAAAATATCGGAGTGAACACTGGAAACAATGAAGAGTATCTGAGCAATCTAAGGTTTGCAGACGACATAGTTCTTATCGCAAACAGGGTAGATCATGCATGTCAGCTTTTCCAGGACCTCCAAAGTTCTTGTGCACGAGTTGGCCTTAAAATCAATTTCTCCAAAACGCAATTCATGACCAACCTTGTACTGGCCAAAAAAATTTCAACGTATGGCAAGAAAATAGAATAAGTTGATTCCTTTAAATATTTATGCCCCGAGATTAAATCAGGAAGAACAACCAGATCACAGAATTGAACAAGAAAATAGGATTGACATGGGCAGTCTAGGGATGTCTTTTCAAATCAGTGCTTGAAAATGAAGGTCTTTGATCAATGTGTGCTCCCAGTTCTAACATATAGAGCAGAAACAATGGCTCTAACCAGAGAAGTTGTTAACAAAATTCAAGTGGCACAGAGGGCAAGGGAGAAATCAATGTTGAATATATGCCTCAGAGACAACTTAATCATATCATTAGGAAAAGAATTATTAGGGTTACGGACGCAGTTGAAAGAATTACAATGCTGGAATGGAACTGGGCAGGTCATGTTTCCAGGGTCAGAGATGGACTAGGGAACAATTAGAATAAAGATGTGTAACCGAGGACGTCCCCCAACAAGACACGACAATTAAGCGCATCCAGCCCAACTGGATGCAAAGTGATCAAAACCGGAGGCAGTGGAATGATTTACGGGAGGTTTATGTCCAGCAGGTCTGATATTGTTATTCCTATCACTATGGCACTTACTGTCTTCTTCTCTTTTGTCGAAATCAATAGAGAGGAGACGTCATAGAGATAGAGAAAATATCTCTATTCGTTACAGAGTCCCAGCCCAGTGCACTCGAATCGGCTGATGATGATGATGATGATGATGATGATGATGATGATGAATACTTTTGAACCATTATACTGATTTGTGGTTGCCATTAGACTCTCCGTTGCCAACAAAAAATGGGGTTATTTTTTCGAGTTTGGATAGTTTTTCGTAATTTCAAGAAATCTGCAGTGAGTTCATTCCTTATCTTCTTTCACCTTCTTCATCTCCAGAAAATTTCAGCTGCTTGTAATTTTTCTTGTTTTACCTTCTTCGTCAGAATCAGTGATTTCACCTCCAGTTACTTTGTGAATTACAGGGGAATCAATTTCAAATAAATGCAATCGTTTATCTTCAAGTAAGTCAATATTTGTCTATGCTTTTCTGATGAATCCAAATAAGGACGAAATGCGTAAAGGATTGGCTAGAAAATCTCGCATCCTTGGCGAAACATTTCCCAAACTGCGTTGTCCTTGACTTCACGTACTACCTGAAAAACCTTTTTGTTGACACAAGGAAGAGGCACAACCTAATAAGACATTTTTTCCACCACTTTGAAGTACAAATTGAGTAGATATAAATACCATTATTTGTATTTCTCCCATAACTTGTCTAGAACAAACATCAATTAACTCCTGTGAATGAGTGTCTTGTTATTGAATTTGTACGCTTTAGGCTTGAGGATTATTTCACAAAATTCATTCGCCGATGATTCAATTTTCATTTTCCTCTGTGTCTTCCTATTTTCCTCATTATTTGAAACATCTTCAATATAACTTTCATTCTTCTTGAGCCGTGAGATATACAAGGGATCTTCCAATCTTCCAGGTCATGCTTTTGATCGCCAACGCTCTGGGATTCTTGAAGAAGAATCTTTCACAAAGTCACTGGGGTCATATGACTGAATATGAATGGAGGATCTGGAAGACGCGGGAAAGAGAGGGACAATGGAAAAACTGAAGTTCGTAAAAACCATGCACTGGCACAAAACGAAGAAAGGAGGAACAGGTTAAAGACTTGAGAGGGAACCACCCTGAAGAAGGGATAAAATTGGGCCAATCCCATCAAACATCTTTACATTAGCATTACATAAATGTTAGGTATATATTTTCCTAACTTTGTCTGTACCAACCCAAACAAACCTGTTCGTTTTGAGAACTATGTTACGACAGCTGCAAAAATAAGCGAACCACAGGAGACACTAAGCTACAAAGATGCTATTACTTGCAATAACAAAAATAATCGGATTATGGCAATGGATAAAGAAATACATTCACTACAAGAAAATTATACTTGGGAGGTTACCACCAGGAAAGAAGGCAGTACCATGCAAGTCAGAACCAATCCAGAGGGGTCCATTGACAAGTACAAAGCCTGGCTAGTTATCAAAGGTTGATCACAAAAAAAAGGTGAAGATTACGACCAAACTTACAGTCCTGTAGCCAAGGGAGGAACAATTAGGTCACTACTCAGTATTGCTGCTAGCAAGAATATGACACACACTCAGTTCGGTGTATTTTTTTTTTTTTTTCAATGTACTTCTACTGCATTTCTCTATGAAAAACTAAATAAATAAGTCTATATGAAGCAACCAGAGAGGTATGAAGATGGAAGTAACATGGTCTGTAAACTTCAGCGCATTCTTTATGGACTAGAAAAAGCACCTAGATGTTGGAATCAAAGATTTTCCGATTACATCGAAGCTCTTGGTTTTAGAGGATCAGATACCGACCCCTGTTTCTTTATTAGGTTGAAGAAGACACACTTCTATTAGTATTATATGTAGATGATGGACTCCTGGCGTCAACGCCGTCAACCAACGACAAATTGAAGGATTCCTTCTTAGAAAGTTTACGAAGAGAATTTCAAATTACCATTTTTTGGGTTTAGAAATTTCAAGAACTGGAAATGGTGCAGTAAAAGTAAGCCAAACAGCTCATACAAGAAAAAGTCTTGTCCGCTCTGGAATGCAAAATTGTAAACCTGTAGTAACGCTAATGGTGAAACAAGGTGTACATTCAGGGAAGATTGGGAGGAAGAATTACTACGACTACATTTCCATATTGAGAGGCTGTTGGGGCCTTAATGTTTTTGATGACAAAAACTCGGCCAGACCTTGCCTATGCAGTTAGTGCTGTTGAAGCCAGACTAAAGTATAGTTATGAAAAAATGTTGCTTATGAAGCAGGCATGCACAGATCCAAATTCTACTTACATAAAGTATGGATAATAACATATGTATGTATATGGGCCTCCGAGTGCAAGCTCTAGGTATTCGTAAGGCAAACACTTTTAAACCTAACCTAACATTACCTAACGGAGCTCTTGATAAAGTTATTGCTAGGCTGGCAATTGCCTAGTAGCAAAGCCATAAAAAACCAAGAAGAAGAAGAAGAAGTTATTGCTAAAACACTCTTCATATCTTCTTCGTCCTCTGCAAACGATATTGTATATAAAACAATATACCTACACACAATGTGCAACAGCACTGTCCATAGGTATTTCAATTCTCCATTAATCAAGCTCTGATTGTTCTATACAAAATTAATCTAAGTCTCAATTATTATCAAACCATTATTGTTTCAGGGTAGTTGCGTTTGGAACAGCGTGACCGGACGACAAGTGATACTTCAAGATACAAATTTGTTGCATTTAACCGAAGTCGAGAGGAAAATTTTGCAGAAAGTAGCCATTGCGAAGCTGCAAGCCCTAAATTTGGGCGTTTCAGTTAAAGTTCCTATAGGTGAGGATTAGAATTTTAATTAACAGGTTGTTGAACATGTTTCCTTTTTTTTTTTTTTGTAGAAAATATTGGTGCGGTTCCTACAAAGAAACGAAGATATATCTACCTGAAGAAAAAAGCCTTGACTACTGGAATATTTGATGGCAGTAGGAAGGATAGTGATAAAGGTAAAGAAAATATTTATTTATAAAAAAAATTGGCCTGTCAAACGGCTGAACGAACATGTGACTTATCACAGGTAGACATTCCGAAAAATATGTTTTGGAAAGTTATAAAAATAGATCACATATTTGATGGATAAGTGGATGTATAGACTACAGGGGTATTTTTGCTTCTTTGAATATTCAATTTATTAAATAATAATCACAATTGTTAATTATTAATCCACTACGCTTTTAGCTAAAGTAAACACAAATACAGGTTGACATGTGGGAAAGTTGAATTACGATTTAGATTAACTTTGGCGACAAACAATAAACATGTTGTCCTATATAGAAAAGATTTTCTTAAGACTGTATAGAATATTTGCCTTGGAAAAACATCACCATAGTTTTCTGTGTATTGTGCATTGTCAAAATAAAATATTTCCATATTTTTCTTATTGCTTATGGAAAATGAAGTGGAGAGGAATTTAATATTTTCACAGTATGCAAGTCTGTAGGTATTCTATTTATTCAATACAGAAAATATCTATTGAACCGAACAACTTAATTTATTGGAAGTTTTGAAGGAAAATGTGTGTGCAGCTAGAGGACGAATATTTCAATGCTGTTTTTGTTGTGCTAAAGATGAAGGGCAATGTTAAAAGAGTCACACAACACAATGATCAATAATGATCATATCCACCTGAATAAAACAGGAGCCGAAACATGATAATGACATAATTTGTGGAAAGTCTTTTAATAAAAAGTAGGTAATTGATGCAAGATGCAAGCAAAGTTAGTTTCTATAGGTTCAATTTTGAAGGAAAGGGGCAAAACTGACATAACTGAAGTGGTGACACAATTCTACTGAGACGATAAGAAAATCCCAGATGACAGTAAACAGAAGAACTCTTGAATTAAGAAATTCTAAACGTAAATTCCAGAGGAAATTCCGCTAATAAAGACATTATGAAATAGAAGATCTGAAATAAATCGTGGAGGGATGATGATGATATATGATGGATGATGATGATACATTTATCATTCATTAACCAATTCTGTTGTTCGTGAAGGAACGATTTAGAGAAGACAGCAGGAATTCAACGGACTGCAACTTCGATTTATAATGATGATGATATTCGCGGACTAATTCAGAATTAGTTACCACCAGAAACTGAGTGTTTGATGATTATGGCTTTGGTTATCAAATTATTGAAATCTTTTTATTCTTTTTTAGATGGCAGCTCAAACGGCGGCCTAGTATTCGGCATTCCGTTGACACAGTGTGTCGAAAATGACAGATTAAGAAGTGGAGCTCGGTCAGATATAGCGAGTTCGCCTGAAGAAAGGGTTAATATGGCCAGGCACGGTTCCAGAACCAGCTTCAGTTCCCTCATTGATTCGCCTAGAGGAGACGAGGTAAATATTGAACATTAATGATTGCTGTGTTGGTGCTATTTTTATTAAATTGCCTATACTATAAGCGCCACGTTCTATTTTCGCGAATTTGTTTATTTTCTCTTTCTATCCCGAAAATCGAAAAAAAAAGAAGAAATCCCAGCGGCGCTTTTAAAATAATTCACGTTCTATTATCGGATATTTTATTTATTTTGTGAAAAAACACGAGTCGAAATTTTAGTGGCTCGTTTAAAAATTTAATTAGTATTTTATAGTGGTCCAAATGTTGGGGCCAAGACTGACGGGATTTTGAAATTCAGTCGAAAAACAGAGAGTTTTTGCATAACAAACCGCTATATACCTATACTTCTGTCAGTTTCCAATTTTGCAAGGATTGTCTTGTGATTAGGATTTACATTATTTTTGTCGTTTTTCGTTGAGACTTTCTCTTTCCAGCTTCTCTACTAATCTTGACACACACTCTGCCCTTCCCATTACTTCCTTTCCTCTTTAGCATTCTCAATGCAGCAAATAAAGATTTTCCATGTAGAAATATTAGGTAGGTACCTACATAAAAAGAAGAAAAAAGCCCACATTATAATTTATAGATAACTATACCCTACGTGCGTTGCTACGCCTCCCGGAAAATAAATGTCTTGAACTAACCCTTTTTTTTTCGGTAGGGATTAGGAAATGCTTATCTAGGCACATCCAGGCCATTGGCGACCTGGATAGTGTGGGACTCTGAGTCTGAGCTCGACCCACTAAAACCCTTCCCCTACCATCCCCGGGAAGCCGCAAGGCATTACTTCAGTGATGTCTACTTAGTTCTGTTCTTCTATTTCTCTTTTCTTCTCCTCCTCGCACTTTTCCTTCATAATATCCCTTAGCATATCCACGATCGCTACCCAATAATATTTCTCACTGGTGAGCAATAGGTCAGGGATATTGCTGCTGCTGCCCTTTCTTTCTGCAAGCTGAACTTGAAGCAATCAGTACCAGAACTCGTCGCTCTCCCTTCTTTTGTAACTCTTCAGGTATGACCCAAAAGTTCCATGTCTCATCAGAGCCTGAATTACATGCTAGTTTACCTCCCCGTGCCTCCTCGTAGCCCAGTTTTTAACATTTTTTAAAAAGTCTTAGCCCATCCATCGTATAATAACCACCTTTCCTGCCATTTCTCCATAATCTCCCTTCTAGTATCCCCCTTACACCGCCTACCTAGCTCATAGGCTTTTTGTCTCTCCTCGACCAGTAGATCGATTGGCGAAAGACCGGCCACCGCCTCTACCGCCGTTATGGGCACCGTTCTGTATAGGCACAAGTGATGTCGATTGCCATTTTCCTATTTACTCTGCTCAATATGTCGCGGCAGTGCGCTTGTATCTAAGTACATGGCTCCAGGCTGGTGTAGCGTATAATCTGGCTGATGTCACCGCGCCCGCTATCAATCTTCTATTCCTAGTTTTGGGACCGGCTGTTCTAGGCATAATCCTAAGTAGGATGTTCATCATCTGGCTACCCTTGTCCGCTTTTTTTTTCTGATGTGAGTAGTCATGCGCAGATTTTTATCCAATGTGACTCCCAGATATCTCACCCAGTCCGACGTTGTTACGATATCCCCCTGGACGTTTACTCCCACATTATTTATTGCTCTTTTGATGCCCATCTCCTCCACGTATTGGATTATCTGCTTAGATGCGTATTGGACATTGTCCTCAAGCTCGGCTGCAGTTTTGGCCTTAAATACCATAGCCAAATCGTCCGCATACGTCACCAGATTGACTCCTTCCTCTGTTTCCAGGCAAAGTACTTGCTTGTACATCAGCTTCCACAGACATGGTCCCAGGATGGAGCCCGGGTACACCGCATGTCATTTCATGTGTGGTATGGTTTGGGGCTATTATCCTTCTATTGGTTAGGTAGGATTGGAGGATCCTCACCAGGTAGGTCGAGATGTTCCCTTTCTTGAGCGCCCTGTCAATCTCTCTCCATGGCGCAGAGTTAAACGCATTCTGGACGTCGATCAAGATCATTATGCAGAGCTCCCTGTTTTTGTAAGTTTTTTGTTTGATTTCCTGCACTATTGTCTGTTTTCTAGTGATGGCGCTTAGTGTGTACTTTCCTTTAAGAAACCGTATTGGTGGGCGTGGTTCAAGTTTTTTTCTTGTATCTCAGCGTATAATCTGTTCTTTATAAGTCTTTCTAGAATCTTCCCGGTACTATCTATGAGACATATCGGTCTATATTTAGTTATTGTATGGCCCTCGACTTTCGGTTTTTCGATTAACACTAGCTTGGCCGCCTTCCAGATTAAAGGAAACTCCCCTTGGACCAAAGAGTCGTTGAAGATCCTTAGGAAGGTGTTTTGGTTCTTCTTGGCACATGCCATGACTATTTCCGGCACAATACCGTCGGGCTCAGGTGCTTTCCTTATTTTGACTTTTTCTATAGCGTCCATTGGTTCCTGTGGTTGAAACAAAGGTATCTCGTTTTCGTTTATTGTCAAGATTTCCCATATCACCTTTTCGTTGTTTGGCAATAATTTACCGATCTGCTCTGCCACTGTGCTATCATCTGGGTTTCTTTTGTTCCTAAGTTTCTGTTGAATATTTAACATTTATTGTGTAATTCTAATCCAGTCTACATAGATTGTGCATACACTACTTTATATTCCTATGTTTAATTTTCTACTAATTTACAATAAATTGCTGAGATTTGAATAGGTTACGAGTCCAGTCACCCAAAGCTGTGAAAAATAGTGTAACTGGAGTGAGTTGTGTGGTTAAATTTTCGAGAAGAATCAAAATTGTGGAAAAACTAAAACAAACTAAGAAACAAGTTCGAGATGGCGTCAGCTTTATTACCATTCCCTCAACTAACAAGTGACAAGTCAGATACAAAAGCAAAATGTATAATAGTACAATGCATGACCGACAAGCATCTGGAATATATAAAAGATGCAAAAACTGCAAAAGAAATGCTCCGGAGCTTGAAAAATATTTTTCTACTTGCGTGTGCAAAGTAATCACTTTGCACACTCATTTACGTGCGCAAAGTTGAACTTTGCGCACGGAAACTCTTTGCGCACTCATTTTTGTTACGCATAATTACCATAGTTATACTTGATTTTTCAATGTTTTGATGGTTTCTGAATAAACTAATGTTCAAAATGAAGGGTTTTAGTTGAAATTAGCGCTTAGTTAACATTATGTTTTCTATCAAAGGTGTCGAAATTGGACCAGCCTGTACTGCTAGGAATTTGTAGAATTTTTGATATTTGAGAGACTCTCATGAAAATATTCTAGCTGGTATTCTAGAAATTCCAGAAGATGTTAAAAGATTTTTGGGGATTTAATTTAAAAGACATTTTGAGGAATTCCAATAGATTTTAAACGATTTTTGAAGATTTTGATTTGATTGATTTTTCTAATATTTTAATAATCCAAAGCCTACTTTTTCAAGATACTCGTAGAAAAAATATTGTTCCTAACACTTGCGCAAAGTGTCTTTCCCGCACTCAAAGCTTATCCGAACTCCGCTTCGCGTCGTTCGTCTAACTGCTTTTTCGTGCGGGAAAGTATCACTTTGCGCACTTGTTAGGAAAATAACTATTTGAGAGAAAGAGTACTTTCTCAAAGCTGTATATTATGAAAAAGTTACTTAAGTTAAAGTGTACCGGTGATGAACTTCAAGAACATTTTATGCTTGTGGAAACATTACTCCGAGAATTAGAAGGAGCCGGAGCAACACTAGACAAGAGCGATAAAGTATGCTATTTGTTGTTAACCATGCCTGAAAAATATGATACAGTTATAACTGCAATCGAGACTGTAAGAATAAAGGCCCAAGTTTGAAACAAGTCTCAAAAAAATTTCAGCAACAGCTCTTAATAAATATTTTCAATGATTTGCAGAATCGTTGTGAAGCTTTTTTGCGTCGCTATGATGCATTTTTTGAACATAAACGCATGATACAAATTAATAAATGATTTAATTTATATGTTCAGTACTGTTTATTTTGGGGGATACTGTATTACCAAACAATAATAGATGACCATTTTCATTTTGTGTTTATTTATTAAAAAAGAAGAGCGAAGCACAAAACAATTTAATGAATAGTATCAGAGAACAAAAAAATCAGGGCCGAAGAGTGTTAAGAATTAGGATGGATAATGGGGGTGAATACACATCTGCCAAATTTCGTAACTTTTGCAAACAAAAGGGCATGAAGTGTCAGTATACATTACCTTATACTCCCCAGCAAAACGGTGTAAGTGAAAGAGCCAATAGAACATTGCTTGATAAAGTTAGATCAATGCTTGCAGAAACAAATCTCCCTAAACATTTATGGGGAGAAGCCATAAGTACTGCTGCTTATCAACTGAACAGATCTCCAACCGCTGCTTTAAATTACAAGATTCCTGTTAGTATATACTATGGAAAAACAGACCTTAGCAATTTTGGCAGTAAAGCATGGGCATTAAAACTACCAAATTCTGGAAACGAACTTGAAACGAGAGCAGAATCATGTCGTATGGATGGATATACTACAAATGAATATCGTTTATGGAATCCAAAAACAAATGGAATTATCGTATCTCGTGCTGTTAGATTTGATGAGACTGACATAGTGCATGGACTAATTCAAGATGAAAAAGAAGAAGAAAATTACGAAAATACTGAAGACAATGACAATGAAAAAATTAATGATGATGAAACAACAAACAATAAAACAATGAGAAAATTGCCAACAAGATGAATTATATCACGCCAACGTCATTGATCACGTCTATTGTTTATTGACAGAAGACGAGCCTAAAGATTATAATCAAGCGTCCACGACTTAACCGTTTATTTTCTCCGTGCATGCGGTATAGTCTATTACTGAACTTCCGTTGGTGCTGCTGAAGGTGGGGGTATTGCCGTCAAATCTATGAGTCTAGCTTCACCATGACAAACCCCTTTACGCTAACCGTGTTTTTCACTGGGAATCTTTTATTTACATTTATAAATGCATCC